CTGCGGTCGGCGAGGGCGTGGAGGTCGGCGTAGGAGGAAGCTCGACACCCGGCGGGTCCGCGGGAGGAGCAGCTGAGAGATCCTCGAGGGTGGATTCTGGCGGAGGGTCGTCAGGCGAGTAGCGGTTGTTGGTGAGCAGAAAGGCCCTCGGCATCCTCAAGCAGGGCTGTGCCTGAGGGCGCTGACGACTAAGGCTGACTAGAGGACAGGCCGTGCCGAGGCGGCTTCTTGGTTTGGTGCTACAAAACACTGTCGCCTGTGTAGTTAGACCATCAGTAGTTACCGTGGTTTCGATGACCTGGCAGAGGTTAAGCGACGTAGGCTGGGCAGAAGCAGCGGTAGCGGTGGTAGTGTGGTTGGCTCAGCAGGTGGTGTATGTGGGTCCCCCACTGCACCTCCCAGGGACACGAGTTACACTCTGCCTTTCGCTATAGTTGACACTATAACACTCCTTGCCTTTCACTGTCACACTGTCTGTGCGTGGTGGTCACGCCTGCTGTGAACGCGGGGATGGGGAAGGCGCTGCAGTTATTCAGCATCGCCTTAGCTGATCTCAGCGTCGAGGGGGACTTCCTCGCGGCGGCGGGACCGAGTTGTGCTCCTCTGACGTGGCCCCGAGCAGCGTGAGGGAGATGGTCTGCCCAGTAGGTGGTACGAAGGGCTACTGAGCGTGGGGTCAACAGGTGTGGTTGGGCACTGGGCTGGTGGTTGTGGCACCGGCGCGCGCAGGGCAGCGTGCCACCCACCCGACCTCCCCTCGTCACCCCTTGTCTCCTCCGTGCCACTATGATCCTGTAGGAGTTGAATTAGTTATTTCAAGTCTTTATTTCTAGTTCAGAATTTTCATTTCCAGTTCTTTAAGATTGTAACATTAGTGCCGACTTAGTTTGATTCACTGTATTTTAATTCATGTCTTTGTTTTAACACCACAATTAGATCATTATCCCCGGTTATGATGAATCACCTTCACCTTTTATTTTTGCATCGATTGTTTTGTATTATTTCTGTGTATCAGCTGCTGATTATAGTTTACCGAAAAATATTTTACATTCGCTTAAAAGCTAGATCCGAATATTAAAAATCTTTTTCTTTCCGTTAACAACACCATCACGATTCTTGTTCGCAGCATTCCCTTCCCTTTGAATGGCTGCGTGGGGCACAGGGGGCGGCGACAGATGTCAGGCTCCGCCCACCGACTTCAAAATTTCCCTCGTTATTCAGCGGTGTCGCAGAGGGTCAAGATTGAGTTTGAGGGAGATCAGGGGGGACTGGGCGATGGTGCCAATTTAGGGGTAGGGTCAGAATGGGTCAGGTCAGGAAGAGAGGTCAACAATTGTCTTGAAACGTTTATGAGATATAGCAAATCAGATTAGGCAATATTGTGTTTAATCGTTTATTGCAGTTTGGGCCATAGCATATTTGGATAGAAATACGTTGATAATGTCCAGAGTAACAATTAAACTTTCCTGACAGTTTATACTTATCTGTGCCTCTGTCTTCGTTTTTATCTGTCAGTCTTTCTGCTTCCATCCCTGTCTGTTTATAGACATCCGGCCTGCATATCTGTGCAGTAATATTATATCTGGCCCGCTATAGTAAAGAGGTTTGCCATGCTTGTCGTGGAGCGCAAAATCTTTTTCATTCCGCAAGTATTTGGCTCTGGTGGTTTGTTGTTTGAAAATGCTGACAACCAGTTCACATTTAAAAATAATTTGTATTAGCAGCTATGTTGATGAGCAGTGTCAGTTTAGCGGATTTTTAGTAATAATGTTTAACAAAGGAAAACTGCGCGTATAAATGCAGTTAAAGAATTTGAGAACGCAATACGACGGGAAAATTGCATCAGCAATAGAATATAATACTACTAAAAGAAACAAGAACAGGGACTGGGACAGAGCCAGAGCCAGACATACATATAGTCAGACACAGAGACAAACAGAAACAGATATAGTCAAAGGCACATACATATATAGAGACTGATACAGGAGACAGAGATAGAAACAGACACAAACACATAGAGAAAGAAATAGAGACAGCGATACAGACCGAGACCGAGACGAAGATAGAGATTGATACAAACTCGGGTCGGATAACAATTATGAGCAGTTCAACTTTTAGATAAGCGACATGGCAGACTAATAAAAGTAGATTTATTCTACACTCACTCTTGCTGAAAGCTCGGAAAACAAACACACAACCAAAAGCAAGTGTTTGTTAACCTTAAGTCGGTGCCGAGTAGCGCCCTTATTGCCACAATTAACCAATAAAACTATTTCTAACTGATTTACTCCTATTGTTCGTTCGTTAGTAAAATGCCAGTGAATATTTTTTTAAGGAAACTGTACTTTTCTCTCTCTTCAATAGATCGCTTCAGCTGGTGTGTTACTAGATATATAGTGATGTTCTGAAAATACAAAACACCATTTAAATCATACAAAGTGCAAGGTGTGGCTGGAGCAGCAAGCGTGCCCCGGGCCGCAGTCAGCGCGTGGAGGACCGCGTGTTTGGCTCCCCTGCTCTGCCAGACATTTTGTTGGAAACCAGTTGATGAACTTGTTGGGTTTAGCATTATTGATATTCCTTTTGTCTCACTTGTCGTTAAACGATTTCTTCTTCCAATAATTTCAGATGATTTGGCCTAGGCTCATTAAAGAAGGCAATTAATTATGTATGAAGCTATTATCTGCGGAAAACTTATAGTTGGATTATTACTCTTTTAAACATTCAGGCTCGCCATATCCGCTCATGTCGATTTTCACACCAACCGTCAGGTCACGAGGTCGCGGGTTTAATGAGAAAGCAGTGCAAACAGAAAGAATGCATTATTTCTCTGATATTAACTGTGTTCTGACAATACTAATGATGATGAAAATACCTTAAATAACGAAAATGATAATGATGATGATGGTAAATGATAAGGATGGCACTAATTATGAAAATGATGATTGTAGTAGAGGTAATATCAGTAGAAGTAGAAGCAGTAGTAATAACGATAGTAATGATGGTAATAAGGAAAATGTTATGATTATGATAATGAAATTATTCATAATGATAAAACCAACCATAGTAATGATAGTGATGATAATGCTGCTGATGTAAATAATAATAATGATGGCAGTGATAGTAATGTTAATAATATTGATAGCAATGTTGATAATGAAAATAATTATAATGGTGATAGTAGTGATAAGAGTAATAATGATGGTAGTGGTAGTAGTAATAATGATAGTAATGATAAGTGCTGTTACTACTAATAATAAGGATAATAATAATAGTGATGATGAAGGTAATATTAGTTATGATAAAAACAGTGGTATTCATAATAGTATTAATGATGGTAGAAGTACTTGTGCTAATTTTATTATGACTACTACTGAAGATGATGATATTGATAATCACTGTCATCAGCATCAGCGTCACCATCGTCATCATAATGATAATGATGATAGCAATAATGGTTTTGATATCATCACCATTATCATATCTCGTGTTCTCGAAATTGTTGCAGTTTATAGATCCATCTGTGCCTGGCTCTTCCTCAGAGGAAATGAAAGTTAACGGCAGCGAGTTTTCCGTTTGCATCCTTGTCCCAGGGAAAATCCGGTTTCCAGCTCAGCGCAGCAGGTGGAGAGATCCTTAGTTTCTTGAGCCAACACGAACAAGTCAAATGCCTTCGACTGGCTGGCTTTAATTCGCGCGCGGTTCGCGCAGACGAAGCCGCACAGAAGCCATTGCCCGGGACGCTAAAATGTGTGGTCGACACGCAAACTCTGATCAACGTAGGACAAAATTACAGGTTGATCCGTCATCTAAGAATGATCGGAGCGATATGGCTGCCAGTTGGCATATGGCAGGCATTCGAAAGAGCTTGTGCATGCTATTATCTATGCTTGGGGAAGGGGGCTATCGCAGGGCTCGCCAAGGGCTTTGGATACCAAGCCGCCAAGTTTGTTCCTGTTGTGATTGGTGGACCATCACCCCCGTTTCCGTTTTTTGTTTTGCTGTTGTTTCCTTATCATCACCAATATTATTGTCATTATTAAGATTATCATTATCACTATCGTCGTTAAGGTCATCATTATCATCATCATCTTTGACTTTATCATTATCGTCATATTTAACTCCATCATCAATAGTATCTTGTTGTCATCATCACTAATATCATCATCACCATCATCAATCTTTTGCCATCATCGTCATCATCATCATCATCATCAGCAGCAGCAGCAATACAATTACTATTATCACCATTAATATTATTATTGTTGTTTCTATTATTATTATCATTATCATTATTACGATTATCATTAATATTATTGTTGTTATTATCATTAGCATTGTTTGCTATTTGTTGTTATCACCATGAGCATCATCATTATTATTATTCTGATTATAATTATTGTTATTGTTTGTTATTATATATTGTTATTTATTAATATTATTAGTTTTTAATTTTCCTAGCATTATTATTAGTTTTCTAAGAGTACTGGTCATAATAGTAATAGTAATGTAATGATTATGGGGATATTAATAGTAGTAATAGTAAGTTAGAGTAATAGTGAAGATTATCATGATAATAATAATTATTATTATCATTATTGTTATTATTATTATTGTTGTATTTTTATTGTTGTTATTATTTTTTTCATTATTATTATCATTATTATGATCATCATCATTATTATTATTATTGTTATTATAGTAATAGTAATTATAACATTGCTAATGATTATTCTTATCATTATCATTGAAAGGTGGCGCCCCACATCCGCCACCCCCTCGCCTCGCCCGCAGCCTCCCGTGGCCTCGCGCGCCCAGACATCCCGCCGCCCGGTCACCGCTTGCTGGGATCGTCGTCATGTTTCTCTATCTACACGTGTTGACTTATTTTTGTTTTTCTATTCTATCTTACTTTGGTTTATGTAAGTCACTTCTGTTTGAGTTTGCCCTTTGACCCCGTGCTCTCATGTGCGATTCATTTATGCATAAATTATTTCTGGCTTCTACTGTGAGCTTGATGGTCAGTTATATTAGTTTAGATTATCACATAATTTTGCTTAGGTTTTTGTCGCTTTCCTGTCCACGGAAACTTCGTTCTTATTCTAAGAAATGTCTATTTTATTATAATATTTACCTACTGTACTTCTTTCCGCCTACTCCACATTAAGTATGCATTTATTTTATTCATGATTTCAGTATCCTTTTCAAGGTTTTTTTGTACGAACTTTGCTTTTTACAGATGTTTGGCGTGGCTTGTGACGTCCCGTTGAGCGGGAAATAGATTCAGCGGCTTTCTGTTAGCCCCCTCGGTGATTTTTTTCTGAGGGAACAAACGGTGGAATACTCGGCACGTCAATAGGCATCACGTCATACGGAAAATACAAGTCAAGTTCTGTTTTCTCGACTGTTGTCCTTGTGTACAGGAGCTGGACATGATTCTTTGCTTAAGAATATATATAAACCAGTTTTATAGATCTTACATTAGTTATTAAGCTTGTGAATATAACTGAAGCTTACTTATTTCTTTCATTCTTTCATTATGCTTAAGTTATTGATTGATCTTTATTTTTATACGATAATGCCGAGGTGTATAAACGGGGAGTCGGTTGTTATTCACGCGACCCTTCTTAGGAACCGATCTGAATGCGAACCCGATAATAGATTAGTATTTCTC